AACCTTTGACTGATGTTGAAGAATCTCTATCATTGTATATTTTACATTATTAATATATAAATGTATATAAACATTTCATTGTTATTGGATGACATTATCTGTGGCTGCAAAGACACAACAACTCAACACAACATGGCCAAACAGGGACAATCTAATGAACTACACAAACAACAACTAAAGTATTAATAATCGTAATCTAAAACAACAACACTGATTGATTCTCACCAAATCACGAAGATTCGAAATCTTGAGAGATGGCTTTAACTTCGTGATGATCCAGAGAAGCTGAAGAAGACCTCGCTGGGTGAGGCCACTAGTGTAGCCGGCATCCAGGGCTGGCACCAACTTCTCAATGGAATAGGAAAGTCTTGTCATGGGAATGCCTGACAACCACAGGAAGCAGACCATATGACCATTCATGAAATGAACATTGCACAATTTTATCTTGCAAACATTTTACCATTTTCCCACTAGCATGGTAACTAAAACAAACATATGATCATCATATCAACATAAATTTAAAAAACATAGGATCATCATATCAACATAACATAGGATCATCATATCATCATAACTTAAATTGAATCAAACATAGGATCATCATATCAACATAACTTAAAACAAAAATAGGATCATCATATCAACATAACATAGGATCATCACATCAACATAACTTAAATTCAATCAAACATAGGATCATCATATCAACATAACTTAAAACAAAAATATGATCATCATATCAACATAACATAGGATCATCATATCAACATAATTTAAAACAAACATAGGATCATCATATCAACATAATTTAAAACAAACATAGGATCATCATATCAACATAACATAGGATCATCATATCAACAAAACTTAAAACAAACATAGGATCATCATATCAACATCGGTTACATACATGTCCCACCCCAGACCTCTGATCATACTTGCAGACCTTGTGATGGCAGCATCATCACTCTTGTTGTAAGGGAGCACAGGCGGCGGCTGGTGCTCAGGCTGAGCAGGGACAGGCACAGCAGGAGCCACAGGCTGCGCAACCACAGAGGCCGAAGCAGCAGCAGGCTGAGGAGGAGGAGCATCTTGGACTGCACCAACATCATCATAATCATGGACTTCTTCCTCAGCATCTTCCCCAGCCGCAACATCTTCCATCATTCGACGCATGGCTGCTGGGTTCATCATTCCACCCATCATTCCATTCATGGGTCCCATCATTCCATTGCAGCCACCCATCAACATAGGCGCCATGCCACCTCCCATCATGGGATTCATCATTCCACCCATCATGGGATTCATCATCATGGGATTCATCATGTGTTCCATCATCTGGGGCAAAGTGCGTTGTCTCTTGGAAGCTCGGTTCACAGGGGCAGCTGGCATGATGATCCAATTGACTCAATTGTGTCAAATGTGATGGCTACAATTGCTTGACTCACTCAATTGCTGCAGCATGATTTGCAACGTTATTGATTTAACTACATTGGTATTATGTATCGTGTTGATTCTATCACCTATTAGAGATGCCCAAAACTCCCTACAAATTAATCTCCCCACACGCTGGTCGCCATTCCGAAGTTTGTGAACCTAATCATGATTTGCACCCAAAACTCCCTACAAATTAATCTCCCCACAAGCTGGTCGCCATTCCGAAGTTTGTGAACCTAATCATGATTTGCACACCATACAACGTTATTGATGTAACTACATTATTATCATGCATCGTGTTGATTCTATCACCTAATATGTCTCAATATGTCTCAAAATGTCTCAAAATCACATCAAAATTTCTCAAAATGGCATTTTGAGACATTTTGAGACATTTTGAGCATTTTTGAGCAATTTTGAGCCATTTTGAGCCATTTTGAGCAATTTTGAGCAATTTTGAGCAGATTTTTGGGCATGTATAAGTACTTTTTAAGCAATTTTGAGCAATTTTGAGCAGATTTTTTGGGTAGGTATAAGTACTTTTTAAGTACTTTTGAGCCATTTTGAGCAATTTTGAGCCATTTTGAGCCATTTTGAGCAATTTTGAGCAATTTTGAGCAATTTTGAGCAATTTTGAGCAATTTTGAGCGATTTTGAGCAATTTTGAGCGATTTTGAGCAATTTTGAGCAATTTTGAGCAATTTTGAGCAATTTTGAGCAGATTTTGTGGGCAGGTATTTTGAGCAATTTTGAGCAGATTTTTGTGGGCAGGTATAAGTACTTTTAAACAATTTTGAGCAATTTTGAACCATTTTGAGCATTTTTTAGCAATTTTTTTTGGGCAGGTATAAGTACTTTTAAACAATTTTGAGCAATTTTGAACCATTTTGAGCATTTTTTAGCAATTTTTTTTGGGCAGATATAAGTCCTTTTAAATAAGTTTGAGCAATTTGGAGCAATTTTGAGCAGATTTTTGTGGACGGGAATAGGTATTGTTTAAACAATTTTGATCAATTTTGAGAAATTGATACAAGTATTCATAGTTTTTAATATTCATCTCCATGCACTTGACATTATGTTTTCATATCTAAATTTAAATATATTGGTAAGTATATTGTGTAAGTATATTGGTGAATATAGACTTATCTAGTGGATATGAAAATTAATCTCAATAGAGCCATCTTAGATATGACTGTGCACTGTTGATTCATCTAGTGGATATGCAAATGAATATCAATAGAGTCATCTAAGATTTGACTTTGCACTATTGATTCATCTAGTGGATTTGAAAATGAATATCAAAAGAGTCATCTAAGATATGACTATGCACGGTTGGTTCACCTAGTTAGTAGATATGAAAATGAATCGCAACAGGACTATGCACTTTTGATTTATCTAGTAAATATGAAGTTGAATCTCAATAGATTCATCTAAGATATGAGTATGCATGCACGTTTGGCTCATCTAGTGGATATGAAAATGAATCTCAACAGAGTCATCTAAGATATGAATATGCACTGTTGATTTATCTAGTACGTATGTATGAATATGAATCTCAATAAGCAATTGACACAATTGAATCAATTGATGCAACATGACAATGGAAAACAAATTGACTGACTCCCAGAAACCAGGCCTGCTTGTCCAAGAGCACCCCCAAGACCAATCGATCCATCTGCCTCACATGAAGATGGTGCATTTTTGAGCCATCAATGACACCGTTTCTAGTTGGCTATCTTTCAATTGACACAATTGAATCAAGTGAGATATGTGGCTATGAAGAAACCATTGCTAAAACAAAGTCCATGCCTTCTCATCCAAGTAGTGAACTGAGCAACCTCAAACATGTCACATGTTCCACACTGTATCAACTGAAACAATTTGTCACTGAAGATGCTTGAGACAAACACTCAAAGAATCATTGACATCACAAGTGCTGCAAGCGATGACATGACTCACCCATCATTGACATAACTTGCCATTGACAAATTGACCCAATTGACAACAAATTGACCCAATTGACAAATTGACCCAATTGCACAACTTGCAAACAAGTCATCTGGAAGATATGCTAACTGAGCCCATCCCACCACCCTTTATCAATGCTTTGCCTGACAAACATCTAAACAACAAGTGTAACATGAAGCAACGGCTGCCATGAAAGTGTTTCACTGCTTCTGCAACATGATCACCTTGTGCTGGGACTAGCGTTCACCCTTTTTTGTTTCTTCAAATGCCATTGTTTGCAAACTGTCATTGCAAGAAAGCATGGGCAAAAAAGCATGGAAACACGAAAGCATGGGTGCAAAGACTGAACATGAAACCAAACCTTGATTCATATGTCTTAAACATCATTCACTTTTTTTCGACAAGAACAAGCACTCATTGTTCAACCTAATTGATGCCCATGCTTCAAGACTGCATTTGTCAATGATGAATTGACACAAATGACACAATTGACACAAATGACACAAATGACTGCAATTTCAGTTGAGCTCAATTGGCCCACAAATTGAAAAAAGTCCATGCTCAGCGCCAGCGGCGCCAATTTGATGACGGTGCTGCATCAACCTCTTCTTGACCTGGAGTACAAGCACTTCAACCTTGACAACTTTGAAAATACTTTTTTGAGTATCAATCATGTTTTTTGAAAATGTTGCTTCAAAGCATGAGTGCTCAGCCATGACATGTGAAGCCAAGTTGCCAATTGCCCTGCGCAACCAGTCATTCGACTCTGCCTTGTTCCCCCAGCGGAGCAGCATGTTGAACCTTGGTATTTGTTTCGAAAACATACAAACAAAAAAGCTGAAACACTCAGACCTGTTGACCAAACTGTGAGCAAGGAAAAAATATCAGATCTTCAAGTTCAACACCCAGACCAGACACATTAGTTTGATCTTGTGGCTCCGGGAGATCTTGGCAGCGGCCATCATAGCTCTGATGCGAGGCTGGATCTCGTAGTCAGTCAAGATCTCGTCCCTTGGCCAAACAATAATGATAATGAGTTTGACACAGGCATTGGTGGCATGACAGCAAATCACTCCTTCTCAACAGCTGGATCACTGAACTGCAGCCATGGCACAACACCTCGTCCCATCCATCACCCCCGTCAACATCAGTTTCAAGAAGGCCCTGCAAGAAAGAGATCTGCTGCTGAATCATTTCCCGCACGTAGGGGTCACTGAGCTTGGCCTGTCAGCGACAAAGGAAAGAACATGATTGAATGACAATGCCAAAACCCTTACTCAACTGAAACCATGCAACCATGTCATTTACTATGGCCATGACAATGTTTAATCAATTGAATCAATTGCAGCACTAATAGCACCTGGCCTTCTTCTGTGCTGGGCTCATGGTTTGGAGCTCATCCACAAGCCCTGGCGGCATACCGATCTTTTCCTCCTTGACAGGGGCTGGCTCTTCCACCTTTGGGGCTGGCTCAGGTGCGGTGGGGGATGGCTCCCTCTTCACACTTGAGGCTGAGGCTGTGGAGGATGGCTCCTTCTTCACACTTGAGGCTGAGGCTGTGGGGGATGGCTCCCTCTTCACACTTGAGGCTGAGGCTGGCTCTGCCTTTGGGGCGGTGGTTGATGCCGCCTTTGGGGCTGGGGGGGTTGGCTTGGGAGGAGGTCTTGCTGACGCTGTGGCTATCGGGCCAATGTCCCGAGGGGGAGGCCCCCCCGGGGGGGTGGAGCCACCGACTTTTCCCGAAAGCTAATCCGGCAATGAGGGTAGACTTCTCTCCACAGGTTTCGAGCCCTCTCCAAGGCATTGTTGAAGTCCTCATCGGTCCAAGGCTTCCCGGTGATGTCATCATACATGTTTTGCGAAAGGGTTCGCATAGTCCTGAGCAACACTGAGCCATAGCGAGGACAAACTTAGCAGCACTTGCAACATGAAAGATTACTTCAATTGAATCAATTGAGGCAATTCAATATTCACTGGGGACAAATGTTGATCAGGGTAAGGCAAGTAAGCAAGTAATCAATTTTGAAAACATGAAAGCAAACATATTCAAACCCTGAACCCAACATCGGTGAGGCATCCTTGAAATTCTTGCCAAGACACACATTTGGCGACCCTTGCAGAAAGGCGATGACATTGCTGCAATCCACCGCAGGGGCCATCGACAAGCGGGCGGAGTACAGGACCACCTCGACGCCTGCCATCTGCAAGATCTTGATGATCACACCAGCCGTTCCCAAGGTTCTGTGCCAGCCCCATGAACACGTCAGCCTCAGCAAAACAAGTCTGAAGAAGCTAAAATCAAATGTGCAAAGGTTGAAGCTTTGACTGGGTGAAATTGTTTTTCTGTCTTTCACATTAGAATTGTGAGTTGCTCCAAGGCATTCAAATGACACAATTGCAAACATCACATGACAAGTACACTGCAATGATAGGCCAAGACTAGCCAAATGCAGGCAAGAAACCGAACGATCATCCCTGGTCGTGACAAAATGTCGAGGATCACCGCTGGGAACCCTGTGTGGCGGATGACCTGAATGAGCCAAGCGCTACAAGAACTACATGAAGCAACATCAAAGGCACATGAAACAAGAAGGCAAAACAACTGGCTCAGTCAATTGACAATACTGAGTTCAAACATGTTATCAGTTTCACTACGAACTGACAACCTGTCTTAGTGTCGACCCCAAAGACGTTGATGCCAAGCCACTTCCTCCTGCACCTCCGTGTGCAGTCCGCTCATCTTCTGCTTCGAACCCTGAGGCTCTTCAAAGGACCTTAGCATCCCAATAACAAACCACCAATGATGATATCATCATGAATGCATTCAAAGGAAATCAAAGGAAATCCTTGTGATCTGAATGCATCAAAGGCACTGCCTAGACAGTTTGATAGGAAGCCGGTGCTCCCACACTTCCTTCATTGGGTCCCGCAAGTGACCGCCCATCTTTTCGATGATCCGGACCACCTCCTTCGGGGGTTCCTGCAATCAAAAGGCACAAAGAATAAGAAACTTGATCACACACCAAACCCAGCGGCTGAAAACTAAACATCATAAATGTCAGTTTCCATCAATGATCATGACACAAGGCCCTGTCCTGCCACCCCTTTCTCGCATTGCCCGATCCATACCCCAGGATCGCGACGCGCTTTGGCCAGTTGAAGGTTTGGTGATTCCACAAGTGAATTGGCACCTGACATCAGACACTACATCCAAAGCAGACCCAATCACACATTTGATCCAAACTTGATTCAAGTGCCAGCCCTTCAACACTTCAGATTTACATAATTGACGCAATTCACACAATTGATCCAAACCAGCCAATGTGATTGGGCAACATGTCTTCTTAAAGCCAAGAAACTGTGGTCTGGTCACCTTTTCTTGGTGACATTGTCGTACTTGATGCCATTGTTCTCGTGGTACCTTGGTAATGAACCAGCTTCAAGCCAGCATTGGCAACATCCAAGCAAAACATCCTGCAGTGCAAGTAAGTTACTCCCTGATCTTTTCCCGCGATGACGACAGAACGTACTTCAGGATGCAGGCCGGTGGTTTCTTCTTGATGTGGTCCCTGAAAACAAACAACCAAGTGAACTCAATTGACCCACACTTTCACTGAAGACAATTGACCCAATTGAACTCTGAACATCTTCAATGAATCAAACATAAATAGCAGCCCGAATCAGCAAACTTCATAAATTCGATTCTCCTTTTTTTTGGTCCAAGGGGCACTAGATCCTGGGCGTTACTCGGGCACTCAAGCTACAGGAGATAGATCGCCTCAAGCGAGCAACTTGCTAATGTCTTACTCCCAGATTCTGGTAAACACACTCACATCAGGATTTATCTCAAAATTGAAAGTAAGACATGATAAATGATCAAAATGCTCAATTGCATGTTCACCAGTGCGATCAAGCAGCCTGCTGAGCTTTTCTTGGCCACTTGTTAACAGTCGAGCGCCACTCAGATGGCAAGTATTGCACAGCAATGCTGGGTGCAGACATCAACAATGTCAAACAAATAAATGAACTTTAAACTGAAGACTTGCATTCTTGGTGCTCATTGGGTTGGCCTTTGAATATCATGTTTCCTGCATGAGGCATGACTTGTTCTTAAATCCGTTTGGGTACAAATGCGGCAATTGACGCAATTGATGCAATTGAATCGAGGCACCCAGCAAAGCTTTGAGCCAACTTTGCTTCGTGAAGACTGCCATATTGTCATATGTCAGATTTACAACCACAAAACCCATTGACAAAGCAATTCAATGAACTGACTTGAAAGAATGAACATAATGAATAATGACCGGCACGTAAACAACACAGGCCTCGCCTCGGCCTGCCGCTAATGTCGCAAAGGCCTGCAAAAAGTAAGTAGTGCATGCCTTGAATGACACACTTCCTCTTGGAATTTACTGACCTGACTTCCCTGGAGCCAATTGACTTCAAATGACACAATTGATGACATTGACTTCACAGACAAAGTAGTTCAAAAGGAAACGAAGCAGCGCCTGCACGTTACCGCCAGCCACCTTGAGACACAAGACAAGAACATGCAATCACATATCATTTGATGCCATGAGCAAAGCTTGTATTGTACAAAAACAGTGTCCCATGTCAATCAAATAAAGTAAGTCTGGAATCTCTGATCACGATCAATATGACAGAAACCTCAGCGCTAGCTTGGACACTTGCAGATCAGATTGATTAGGGAATCCTTTTGCAGTTTTCACACAAATCAACACACATCAACACAAATCAATACCGCTGACAATCTGTACATTGGCGCAGTCATGAGTCAGTAGTAGACTAAAATGAACCAATTGACTCAATTGCCCAAATCACTTTTCAAGATGAAAATGACTTTGCCAAACGTACTTGTCAAAGAAATCCTGGGGCCCCCAAGTTGAAGCGAAGGCTGCACCTGGCCACTTGGATGGTAGCGCACTAGAATCACAAGCAATTGACACTTTGTTAGCATGTCAACAAAGATATATCTCGAAGTTCAGCCTTGACATGTCTTCCACTGAATGCTCATGTTTTCAAGCACAGTACTCTTACTTTGAAAAGGCAATTGAGCTGCAATTGTACTTCAATTGACATGCTTTCCATATCAGCTAATGGGTATCATGATGGTTCCTCAATTCCGTTTTGAAAGCACACCATGGCTTCAACAACATTTTTTGTTTTTTTATAATCAAGAGTAAGAGGAACCATACACACCCACTTCTGGAATAATGGGTATCATGATGGTTCCTCAATTCCGTTTTGAAAGCACACCATGGCTTCAACAACATTTTTTGTTTTTTATAATCAAGAGTAAGAGGAACCATACACACCCACTTCTGGAATCTTGCCAAAAACAGCTCAGGCAATTCTATCAGGAACCAAGCAGGCACTTTGGGATGGCTTCCGTCCTTGGCATGGGCGCAAATGAATTCGTTCAATTGATGGGTTTGGACAGGGAGAAGCAGGGGACACCACAGGCATTCCAATCAAATTAAAGAATGACATCCCAAGTGAACTGAAGCGCAGCAGTTTGAATTCACTACTTTACCACAAAACCTGGTCAGGGATTGAAGACTGCCAAGACTCATCGAAATTCAAAAGACAACCCACTCGCCATCCTCTGCTTCTCTGCCATCCTGCACAGCCAGCACACCTGACGCAATTGACAATGGTTGCCATGACGCAATTGACACCGCATCCACATCTTCCAGCTCCGCTTCAGCAGCCAACGCCTCGAGGACCTGTTCAGCAAGTCCAATGGTCCAAAATGAGCCAACTGACTTGGAAGCACTATCAATTGCTGACTAACCTACTGTGTTCATGACCTTACCATGCTTGGTTCATGCAAGTGCAAATCTATTGTCAATGAAATTCAATAACGCAATGTTCCAAGCCTCGATGTGGAATTCGCCGATGTACCACATTCGTCTACGGACCAAGTGTCCACACGGCGATATCTGATCACAAAGGAACTCATTGTCTGCAGCCAAGACGAAGTTGGTGTCCTTGCGGCATGCTTTGGGCGCATGCTCGCCTCGGCAGTTCCAGTCCCAAATCCGAAGAGTGCCATCCCAGCTCCATTTGCCATGCAATCCACTCCAGTGCAATGCTCCGCTTTTTGATCTGCCTCAGCAAAGCAAGCTGCTCAAAGACAATGTTCAAAACACATGAGGCAATTGAAACAATTGATGTCACTTGAAAGCACACTCAGAACAGTGTTTGTTTACTTAAGGCAAATCAGTTCAAAACCAAGACACTCCGGAAGTTGCACTGCATAGTGTCCTTGCAGAGGGTCATCCACTCCGAGCGACGTCCGCTCCCAGAATGGTAGTAGTAGAACACATGGGCCACATGTTTCTGCTGCGGCTGTGCCACCACCAATGGCAATGGGTACTGGGACTCCTCGTTGCCTGGCTTCTTCTTGTCGTCGTAGTCCTTGTTGTCACCGGGCGCATAGCTACGAGGAATCTTGTTTGCCATGGCTTCGATCAATTGAAAGCAATTGAAGCAATTGACACAATTGACAATTGGCAAGGCAATATCGCTGGCTGGAATTTAAGAAAGTAGATGAATTTGATTTTGTTCAATTAAGTCGATGATTTTGATTTCATTCAATGAAGTAGATGACTTTGATTTTATAGTTTTTTACTTGATTGCTAGATTAGATGTCTGGCTAAATTGTCCAACTTCAATGCTTGAGTTCCTCTACCTAGTGTAATTGCATTTTGAAGTTTCCATTGTGCTTGAGCTGCTTCACATACAACTCAATCACTCAAACCCAAAAGAGATGACATCAATACTTGACGACACAATTGAGAGAAACTCTGCAATAGCACTGCATGATGAACCAAATGAAATCAATCAGCTTTCCAGTTGAACAGGCGATGCCACAACAGACACTGGCTCACTGTTAGAAGCTTCAACATGTTATGTTGAAAAGAATTAAGACTGGAGCAGAACCGGGCCTTTCAAAGACATCTGCAGGCTTGGTTCAGGCCTCACATTGAAGAATACAATGACATGACTGCAACACTTCTTGTTAGTTTCAATTCAAGTCTGAACTCAATTGATTCAATTGACGCAATGTAATTGCATTTGTATCGGAAGAAAGCAAGTCAAGTCAAATCATTGGTTCTGAGTACTGAGAGAATGACAAGCGCCCAGATCCTGCCACAGTTAAACCGTTCAATCAATAAGTTGATCATCGTTTTTTCCACATGTGACTGAACGAATCATTTCGGCCATGTATGATGATGATGAGACAATTGAAGCCATCAGAATCACTGACCACCCCGTGGTTTCTGCTCATCACTTCAGATGCTACTGAGTGTGTCAGTTGAGTCAGTCTTGCTGTCTACTGACTATTTGGTGGAAGCGACTGTGGCTCTTGCACAGCTGGCTCTTCATTGTCATCCGCGGGCAAATGAAATTGGATCAAACGCTCACAGAAGAAGCCACCGAACTCCACAGCAATTTGGCCTGCAGGCCCAGTCGAGTGAATTGACTCCTGCTGGCTCAGCTCAATGATTCATGTCATGTGTGAACATTTGAAATTCAAAGGATTCCAACATTCACTTGACTCAATTGAGGTAGGCACCCTTGTGCAAGATAATCAGGTTTGGCGCATTCTTGGGCATACTGGGCACCACTACCCACAGGTCGTTGTCAATTTGGACATGGCAAGACCACCAATTTGCCTGCAGCATGGCTGATGGTTCACAACAATTTTTGGCACCGCAACGCACCTGGCAAAACCGATTGACTACTGAGTACTGAAAACCACATGGACTGAAGCAACATTATGATCCCACCTCAATGTCGTTGTCGTTGAGCTCGTCCAGCAACTTCTTGCAATTGGCCTTCTGACGCAATTCAGGTTTCTCAGCCAGTAACTTGGCCATCCTGTCCCTCAGGAAGTCGGGCAGCATCTCCTTCGCTTTCCTCACAGGCTGTAGTTTTGTAAATGATGCCTGGAGCCAACCATCAGCTTACTTTGACATCACTACGAATCACTGGCAAGATTCACAAGAGATGGGTGCTTCAGGCATTGATCTGCATCAACTTTGCGCCCTCCATCCATCCTCGGATCGCTGACAATGCGAAAGCGCGCAACACCACATTTCTCAGAAGGTCCTTGAATTTTATTTACCAGTTGCCTTATTTTATTTGAACCAAGGCTCTCCCTGTACTTTGGCCATTTCACCCGACGATCCTGCTCATGAGATGCAGTGACCAGCTAATAATTCAGACCACACAAGCAAACCTTTATCTATTTTATATAATGTACACACAACTCAGAACGCACTCCAATCAATCAAACATGCCTCGTGAATGATACCGAAGGGCAGGACCACAATCGGAAGGGAGCCATCAGCAACAGGAACCGACATCATGGCAAACAAATGACACAATTGACACAGCTTGACAAAATTCAACTGTCTGATCCACCAATTGACCAAAATGAATGATGCAGTAAATCCTGCAAATTTTGAGCCAAAATTGCCACCACCCACACATGGCCCCGGTTCAAGAATTGAACAGTTGCAGCTTGGACTTGAGTCCACTGAATTGATTCACAATAATTGAACTCACCAGCTCCTTGTCATTGATGAAGTTGACGCGCTACAGCCCCTCCTTGAAACATCCAAACAAAACATTGACCTGCAAACATCCAAATGACGCAAATGACACAATTGACGCAAATCATTTGTCAACGAGACATGTTTGCAAACTAAGGCCCGAGCAGGTGAATGACAATGTAGTAACATCTCAAGCAATGACTCAATTCAGAGAATCTCAATCTGAAACCACTTCACACCACAAGAACTCAACATCAGAAATTGAAGAAACACAACAGATGCAATTGACACAATTGACTGACTGACTAATTGAGGGGAAGATGTTGGCATGTTTTTTGTGAGATATCACATCGGCAACAGGAAATATGCATTGCCATGTGACCTGGGGATGCATAATCATCCTGACGTGATGTGTATAACACACATCCTTCCATGAGGCATATGCAAACACAGGTACTAGACATGCCCAATAAATACTAATGTTGGCAATGTAGTAAACTTGATGATTGAAGTTCCATCACCAAGCTCTGCTCTCATTGCCAATAATAAGACACAATTGACTCAATTGACAACCATGCCACATCCATCAAGGATACTAATTCATGTAAGTTCAATGTTTGTTGGTGCATAACTTTTAAAACTTTTCAATCTAATATAAATCATTTTACTTTTTCATTTTTCACTTTTTCATTTTTCACTTTTTACTTTTTACTTTTTCACTTTTTCACTTTTATAACTTTTTTACTTTTCATTTTTCACTTTTTCACGTTATAAATCGTTGTAAGACACGGAGATGTTATGACATGTTAGCACGAGACACTTTTTGCTCAAAAAGTACTTTTTGAGATGCCCAAAACTCCCTACAAATTAATCTCCCCACAAGCTGGTCGCCATTCCGAAGTTTGTGACATGAGTATATTGCTGGGAAGTGATGAAGTCTTGAGGTGGAAGTTGGGAACCAGAGGAATATGAAAATTTTGTGTGCTGGATGATACTGCATATTGGCGTTCACTTGAGTGTGATTATGAATTGCAGGAAGGCGGAAAAGGTGTTAGGATGATTCGCATTGGTTTGAATACAGGCGGTTAAAATTCATTGAAATTCAAGTTTCCAATGATTTTTTTGTTATTATATAATAGTTGCAACTGCTACAGTAATTAGTGGTATTGTGCTGGCAGATCATTTTCCATCTCGACACTTTATAACCATCCAGGAGATGCACTCCAAATCTCTGCTTCAGCAATCCGATACTTGTGGTGCCAACTGGTAAGTGCCATGAATTGTGTGATAATGGGGGAAACTTCCATCAGGTTCCCTGAGTAGTCAAGCAGCCACACTCAAAGGTCTTGGGCTTATTTACACTTGGTTTATGTAAATGGTTACTGTATGTGCTACTGTACGGACCTTTATGAGGTATTTGGAGACCTCCGAGTGGAGCTTTTGAATACCATGTCTGGTAACTGGTAAGTCATTGAGTTTGGTAAGAAAGGTGCGATTTTGCAGCATTTAATACAGATCTGAACCCCATTATTGGATGATTAAATGCTAAGGATTCTTTCTTTGGATGGTTCAACAACAAGAATGCTTTGTTTTGATATCATGAAACGCAAAGGATTTGATTTGGATTATCTAAATGTATATTAGAAATATTCAGAATTTCCACAGACTCTCACCACCTCTTCGCAGGCAAGGTGTCGGATGCCCGGTTGGTGCGTGAACGCTTACAGAAAATTTCCGCAGAATTATTGCGTTTGGACGAGTCGTGGATGAACATGAAGATTGGAAGCATGTCAGCCTTTGACCCTCGGCAGCCTTGGCAGCCTTGGCAGCCTTGGCAGCCTGCTGAAATCCGTGGAGGGAGCGATTTTGCAGGGTTGATCCAGGTTGGTGGATCTCGGAAGAGAGGTCTGCAGTTAAAGCGCTGTGGGAAATATTGTGCTGAAACATGAAGAGATCTGAAGAGAGAGAGAGAGAGAGAGAACTGAGTTGAAGGTAATTTCAAGAGATCAACTGGTAGCACTTGCCGGCCCGGGGTACAAAGCCAGGCTGTGTGCGAGCAAAATGCTGGATTCAATGGAAGAAAGAACATCGTGAAACAGAGAGAGGTATGCCATGTGGGATGGGGATAGTGCACAAGATGCAAAGCTAAAACGTAGAACAGAGATGTCATGAGAACTCTGAACGGCTCCAAAAGATCGACCAACAAGATGGCCCCTCAGTGGCTTAAAGGATGTTTACCATTGTTTACCACCATCACCCATCCGGGGCTCATCGACTCCTGGCTACTTTTCGTGGCAGGTAACCAACATGTGTTTTTCGTACATGGGCCGTAGATATTCCCGATATGTTTTTGCTCTGATGATATTTCCAATGCGCGTTGCTTGCATCATGCCCCATCTTTTTCCAGAACAGGTAATTGATTTCCATGTTCAGTTTCGACACTGCTCCTGCTGTCGAGGACATCCGGCTGATTACATCTTGTATCACCTTGTTGGCCATTGACCTCGTTCCACACAAAGCCAATGAGTTGAAATTCAACTTTGCCAGGGTCAGTGCTCAGTCCTTTGCAGTGCGTGGCAAAACGCAGAAGAATATCTACAGAGAAGCTGGGCTGCATGTCACAGATGTCATGAGGTGAAACCATGGTGAAGCTGTAAAGAATTCCCGGGTGATAGTGACAGATTCAATACGAGGATTCAGATGAATCCCAGTCTAAATGTGGCCATGACATTCCATAACTAAAATTTCCAGACTGGGATGCAGCTCACTTTTCTTGGCCTCGGCGCGTTTCGGCGCTTCGCCACCCCCTCCAGTCCCCAGGAAGACTTGCAGTTGAGCATGGAGGAGAAGGACCGCAAGGCCCGGTTGAGTGCAGCCTCCCTGGCCGCCGAGCTGGCGGAAGACAGGTCAATGGAGGAGCCGCAGGTGACAGCTGAGGAACCCGCAGAGACTTTGACATGCTGAAGGATTGGGGGAATCATCCCCAAATGGCCCCATTGAAATGACTGGATATGGGATTTTTTGGGGGGCTTGACTGCGTCTAATGATGTTTAATGAACCTGGCTTTGCTCAAGGGGATTGTTTCTCTTCCCAGCATATAGTTAAACAGCTAAACCACCAATTTTGGGGAGTGTATGGGAGCGTACTTTTCCGCAGATCTGAGGAAATCCCGGAGCCCGAAAGCGCACAGCTGGTGGAGATTGAGATCAATATGGCCAATGCTCCAAACTTTAAGAGTGGCTGGGTGTAGGGCGACGGATGCTGAGCGGATGTAGCCGTAACGTTCTGTTACTGTTACGTTCTGTTAATAAATCTTGAACACAAACTGGCATCCCTTTGACTCGCCAAAGGCGAGTGAACATTGGGATGAGGCGTGGCTCACGGAATCAGGCGACCTCTAGGTTTGCCTTTTACATGGGCAGGTGTCTGCGCCACCTTTTCCTTAAATGACCTGTCCTCAAGGACTGCTGCCAGTTTTCAGCGCGGTGCTGAACATGCAGAGCAGGTTGTCAGCCGGTTGTACCCTCCAACAATTGGGGCAGAAACAGCTTGGACGACCAAATATTTTCCGATCTACCCTGCTTGATGGGCTGGGCTCAAGCCTCGGAATTGCGACTGTGTCAAGCTTCTGATAGATTAAAAGTGAAAGAGAATCAGACATGAACTAAAAGAATCGTGGACACTAGCGCGCTATCACATGAATGTACAATATTGATCTTTATTGATATATTTTGTTGAGAGGCATTTTTGCTACGTTGAGTTTTCACATACATACTCTAGGAATAACATCTAAGAAACTACATTCATGACGATGTTTTATATATATATATATATTATATATATACCTTATTAAAATATGTATATTCATATCTATACATATCTGATATTGTGTTGAAATGATTGTTCACTTTATATATGTTTATGCAGAACTTATTATTAGATCTATTATTATTATACAGATTCTCGTTTCTTGTGATCAGCTGGGTCAAGTGTTTCCAATTGACGGGGCCATGGAGATGAGGGGCCACACGCGGAGGTGGGGAGAACTTGGAGAATTTCAGATTGAGAATCAGGTCTTAAGAGGGAACATTGTTATCAAACAGTGGATGGAACAGGTACACTATTTTCTTACAAATCTATATGTATATATATATATATGTATGTATGTATAGGTAATCATACCATATATCGATGATGCTCGCTGTATATCTTGTTTTGGGTCATTTTGGGGGAAAATATGGGTAAATACTCCATACAATAAAGCATGTGTGAGTGGTGTTTTGCGATGTGGGCAGTTTTCAGGTCAGCTCTATGCAGAGAAATTGGCACCTTTATCTTATTTGTAGGAGGACGGTCCACATGTATTCCATGGGGGCATATTCACGATAAAATATATTCATATGTCTATTGCGGTAGAATAGCTTGTGCCCACCATCCTCATGTCAGGGGATCAAATCTAATACGCACACACACACATCAGACTATGATTTATTGCCCAACCAAGTGAGGAAAAAACACAGCCATGGCGGTGTGCAGGTTGAAGAGGGGTCGAACCTTAAAGCACCGTTGCATGCCAGCGTACTGTATTCCCCCTGTGGCACGCAACCATTTCAACATAGGGTAACTGGAAATCCCAACGTTCAATACTCAATACAAGAAGCTGGCAGTGGGATCGATATGCATCATTTGTAGATCGTATTCCCTTGGAACGTCGCAGGCTGCGAGTCCACTGGTCGTGTTCCCATGGCTGACTTTGAGGCCTAGGAGTTTTTGGATTTTCTGGAGTTGGTACCTTAGATATCTTGGATCCACCGTTGCCAACCAAAAATAAATGGATGTCATAGGGAACAGAACCTAACGGGCATATGGTGATTTCATGGGGTTTATTGAACTTTATTCACATAAGTGGGTGTTCTTGATGATACACCGGTCCAGTGAATTTACGGGACTTCATAGGGTTATATTGTCATTTTCAGTCCCAAATGGTGGATTGCCATCCGCTTCCAACCTTTGACAGTCGTGCAGATGACATTCCAATATCTTCATTACCCAAATGAAAAAGAAAAACAAGCATTTCTCAGATGATTCTTCCATATTGATCATTATTGCTGCAGACTGCATACTATATATTGTCGATGTTGGTTCCATTTTGTTTCATGTTTCTTCTCCCAGCTAACACTGATCGCAAAGAAAAATAAAGAACATCAAGAGCTGGATTCAGAGAAATTGAAATCCAAGCTTCAGAGGAAGCTGATGGTTCCCCCAATGGTGATTAGAAAAATGATGGGCCGCAAGACAGCACAGCCTAATGAACAAAGGAGAGTTCGATGATCCCAGCGAACTAAACCTCCATAAAAAGATTGGTGACGCCGCTAGGATGGATTAATCCCCACCTCCTTTTACTAAACGTACCCCGAATATAAAAAGAACTAGGGTCCGCGTCAAATTTTGGGAAATTTCGGACTGACAAATTTCATTTTTAATTGGTACCCTTTCGAAAACACATTAAAGTGAAGGTCCCATTTCAGGGTTTTACCCCCCTAATAATAAAACTAGTCAGCCCCGGGCTGTTTTTTTTAAATTAGGGTCAATCTTTTAAGATCGAGAACAAAAAAGGTATTCCATGAGGTTTTTAATCTAAGATTAGGGGAAAGCTTTGAAATTCAATTTTTGGCAATAGTTTAATTATAATTTTAAAGGAAAGCTAATCGTTTTTGAAATGGACAATTTTCGAAGGAAGCTTAGAAGTCAAACTTCCGACAATATGGACAGATGGAAAAGCAGAGGTGGGAAGAGTGAGAGAAGAGAAGAGCAGAAGAGAGAAGATCAGAGAAGAGAAAGACTCAGAAGAAAGAAGATGCAGGTGCGCGAAAAGGTAGGAACGTCGCGAAACACTGTGTTTTTCCAATGATTTGTGGCTCCGGAGGGTCGAAAAGTAGACTTGCGGCGGGTGCGGAGCCTTCTGGCCAGATGAGAGATGAAAAGTTGCACGCCGTTGTGGCGCGAAGCACATGTGGAAGTCAAAATGTACAAAACACCTCATGTTAGGACCACTTTGGGAAGTTGAGATGTCAAAAAAGTGAACGCAGTTGTGGCGCGAGGGTGCGCGAAGCACATTTCGAAGTCAAAACGTACAAGGCACACCAGCGTCGGACCACTTTTGGAAGTTGAGGTGTCGAAAAAGTGCACGCCGTTCTGGCGCGAAGCACATTTCGAAGTCAAAATGTACAAAGCATCTCACGTTCGGAGCACTTTTGGAAGTTGCGATGTCGAAAAAGTGCACGCCGTTGTGGCGCAAAGCACATGTCCAAGTCAAAATGTTAAAAGCACCACATGCTCGGACCACTTTTGAAGGTTCAGATGTGATTTTGCGTGGCAGGCGCAGGGGATTCTGCACCTTGTCAAAAGTGAGCAAAACATGGGGTTTGATAGCATTTCCAAAAATGATGGCAAGCGTGGGACATTTGCAGAGGATCTGCAAAGATGCATTTCGCGTGGCAGGCGCAATACAAGAGACATGTTCATCAGAGGTGTTAGGAGGTCAGGGCGCTGATTTCCTGAGAGGGGTTGCATTTTGGAGCGTCAGATTATGTCAGATTCGTCAGATCTTTAGGTGTGCTAAGATGATTTTGCGTGACAGGTGCAGCACTTTGTATGACCTGGCATCACTTTTGCGTGGCAGGCGCAGCACTTTACACAGATGGAGTGGAAAAATCATGAAAAATCGCAAAACTCATTGGTACGAGGCCGTCAGCTCTGCACTCAACTTTCCATTTTGAAGGAAGTCTCGCAGAATAGCTTCGTTTTTGACGTTATCAAGTTCAAAGGTTGAGGAAGTCTCGCAAAAGTTCTGCGTTAAACACGTCAAGTTCAAAAATGGAGGAAGTCTCGCAGGATAGCTTCGTTTTCAAACTTGCAGAGAGAGAGAGAGAGAGAGATAGAGAGAGAGAGATAGATAGATAGATAGATAGATAGATAGGTAGGTAGGTAGATAGATAGGTAGATAGGTAGATAGGTAGATAGGTAGCTAGGTAGATAGGTAGATAGATAGATAGATAGACTGACAGATAGATAGATAGGTAGATAGATAGATAGAAAGATAAACAGAAAGACAAATAGATAAACATATATGATATATTGCATAGATAAACAGATCTGTGATGTATAGATAGATAGAAAAGCAACTGCAACTGCACTACATCACACTACAACTACAACTACAACTTCAACTACACTTCAACTACAAGAACTACAACTGCAACTTCAACTACAACTGCAACCTCAACTACAATTACTACAACCACAACTGCGATTACAAGTGTCACTGCAACTACAACTACAGCTCCAACAACTACTACAACTACACAAGAACTGCAACTGCAACTATAGCTGCAACTACAACTAGGGCTTCAGCTACACTACAACTACACTTCAGCTTCAACTACAACTTCAACTTCAACTACAACCTCAACTACAATTACTGCAACTACAACTGCGATTACACGTGTCACTGCAGCTACAACTACAGCTCCAACAACTACTACAACTACACTAGAACTGCAACTGCAGCTATAGCTGCGACTACAACTAGGGCTTCAGCTACACTACAACTACACTTCAGCTTCGACTGCAACTTCAACTTCAACTACAACCTCAACTACAATTACTGCAACTACAACTGCAATTACACGTGTCACTGCAACTACAACTGCAGCTCCAACAACTACTACAACTACACTACAACTGCAACTACAGCTATGGCTGCAACTACAGCTAGGGTTTCAGCCACACTACAACTACACTTCAGCTTCAACTACAACTTCAACTTCAATCCCAACTTTATTACAACAAGAATTATTATCAGGACACTACACTACAACTACACCTACAACTACAACTACACTACATCTACAACTACAGTTACAACTACAGCTGCAACTCCTACAACTATTGCAACCACTACAATTACTACAATTAAGACAACTACAACCACAACTACACTTCAACTACACCACAGCTACAACTACAACTTCAACCACTACTACACCTATAACATTACAACTTCAACAACATCAACCCCGTCACAACTACAACTACAACTACAAAGACTGCACTACACCACACTACATCCAGGAGTTGTGAGTGAGGTGACCACTGTAACCATTGCAGCCACTCCAAAAAACACAGCTCCAACCACCTTTCGGTGCATCAGTGGATCCATGCATCACAACAACTCACCTCTCCTATAGCGTCCTATCCTTGAAACTTCCGCCACCGCCTTGCGCGGTACCACGGGTAGAGTTTTTTATTTTATTTTTTTTTACTTTAATATTAGGGGGAAGCTTGGCAGCCCAATACTAAATACCCCCTAATACTAAAAACTCTTCCAGGTGTTTATTGTTTGGGGAGGGGTGGCGGTTTAGTAATAGGGGGAAGGGATTAAGATGGACCAGTTTGATGTTTCCAGGCCCTGTGGAGCCTATTGCTGCGCTGCTGGGAAGTGCATGGGAACCATTCAGCTGAAGAGGTGGGGGTGATCTCAGTCGGAGTTTGAAGGTGTCTAGGCGTGTCAAGATGTGTCAAGACGTGTCAAGCATCTTCCCCGGTCTTGCCCTCGAACGTGTCATCAAACGTGGCAATGGAAAATCCTCGAACTAACCATGGAGGTTTATAGTTCGCTCAGCAAATCATCGATAAATGGAGGATTTCCAATCGTTATCTTTGATTATGTCCGGCAAGAAGGCCATTTTAAACCCCCAACCAGGCCAGCTGTTGCTCTTCTTCCGTTCATGCGGTTTCATGTTGTTTTTCTTAGCTTTGAGCTGCAATATGCTGGCAGTTGAGGATAGCAATGACAGAAGGGCAGTTTACATAGATGAAGGATTGAGGGACCCCCCCAAATACTGAGGTCATTTGATGTCATTTGCTCCTATATAAAATGGGACTTGTCCCAATTAAACAACCTATAGTTTATAGGGGTACTAATCCGAGGTTGACATTTCTAGGCAATTGCAGGCCCATACACCTCGTATCCGTTCCCATGATGGTGCTACTGAGAATCCACATACTTCAAAGATTGTAGGCTGCCTTTTATGACTGTTATCGCAAGGTAGACTTCTATTAGAACATTACAATTGGCGATGTATTTTTCCTGTTTTCCAAAGATTAATTTTGCATCATTGATGTAGATTTTTAAAGCAACATGCGCTACATATCCCTCCAGATTGTCATGGATTGCTATCATGTTTTTGTTTATTTATCTCTCAATAATACACATTCAGGTAATATGGTTAAATTTGCCAATCAAATGTCCCCATATGCATCGCCAAAGGCTCGGGTTTTGGCCGATTGTATGTTCAGACCACCAAAGAGGATGTTTGTTTCATGTTGTTTTAAGATCATATGAGATTTCTTGGGATGATGTCCCAGCTGAGGATACGTACGTGATTATCCACACACAAGTACCCAAATTTATGTATATGTAGGTAATATATATATATGTTATTATATGTATGTACGTTTTTTAAATTATATATATATATGCGTGTGCTTATCAACCCCCCAAAAAATGCAGAACCGTAAGATTAAATCCTAAATGATTGTGGTTCACTTTACTTATGAAGCAACAGCGGCATAGTTGAAATATGTGGCATAAATTAATAGTATAGCACCTAATCTTACTATAAATGTATATAAATGTCGCAGTGCTCAGGTGGTCCAGGTTTGGAAGGAAGATCGAGACACAGCGGCTGCCAGTGTTGCGTGGCGCAGTGCCATAAGTGAAGGGCCGAAAAAGTCATGGAAAACTTGGAGTTTAAAGGAGTGCAACCTGCTACAAACTTGGCGAAGTGCGAGAAATGAACGTTTTGAAATTCAATCATCGCCTAGTTTGAATGGGGAAACTGAATCTTCGCCAAACATTTGTTTTGGTGGTTCTCAAGATCCGCAAAAAAAAAGACATTCCAAAACCACTCAACAGGGTGAATAACGTAGAAAACCACCATCCCTCAGCATAGGACGAAGTGTACAGATGGAACTATGACTAGCCAGCGTGGATCACAAGCGGCACCCCATCCGCCACATCCTCGACATGTTGCACTAAGGAAGACTTCTTAGGTGCTGCCGTTTTCACTCTCGCAGCTGCTTCCCTTCAAGGGGAAAGCCTTGGGGAGAGAGAGGACTGATCACCGCTGCAGCTTGGAAGTAGATTCACACCAGCAGGGAGTGCCAGACAACTGAACAGATGTCTATTTTTTATTCGGCAAAGAGAGCATGGTTGAGATACTGTTTGCCCCTCCAAGCAGTCAGCGTGGATGGAAGCGATGTTCATTCAATTTTATTATATGTTATCCAATTTCATCCAATTTCAGTAGCAGCATCTTCCATCTCTGAAACGTACTGACTTCGATTTGAGAGGACAGCATCATCGGAGTGGAGCTGCTTGGTATGGTAGCTCCCCCTGCTTCCCAGTGGTCAGCAAAAGCGGAAATTGATCCTGTGAGCAAAGCGCTACTTCCATGACATGCAATAAACCCGGAAAACTCCCATGAAAGATCCGCAACATGGGCTTATATTATGGATGTAGGAAAAACTTTCAGGTATTGTTTTCCTGATATATAGTTACATAGGATATATGTATACCTATATATATATATACATGCAGATATATAGTATATTTTCATATCGCAACTTTCATCGGAGGTGTATTTGATTTGATGTTAGTTCATTTTGATAGATGGTCTCAGAACTCATGATGATCGACTGTGATCGGCCACTTAGGGTTCGGCAGCTGTCGTTTCTGATTCTAATGAGCGTATGAAAAACTTCAAACATCAAAACCATGACTATCTAACAAAAATAGGTGACACATAATGAATCCCGGATTTAGCTTTCCCCAATGCAACATACTTCATATATCTTCATATTAGATACACATACTGTAGATACATCACATATGCAAATCACTGTAAATACATACACCTATATTTTGACACTGTAACTGTCTTCTCTAAGGCCCATTTCTCATTCGCCATTGAATGAACGTTAACGTGATAACATGAGGAAACAATCTACTACTGTAATTCCTGGTTCTATTGATGAGAAATAATATGCAATTCTAAGGAAGGATCATTCATAGATATTCATAGCTAAGCTAACTTCTAACTTGCATGATCAATGAGTAGGGTTTATGGGGAATATATATATATATACATATACCTAGTCAAAGGCTTTATAAACCAACAAACATAGAAAGTCTCCTCGTCTTCTTTCCTTTCCAACGACTTTTCCAAGGCTTTGCATGGGCTTGGCTCAGCAGCTGGAGATCACTGCCCAGCAGCGTTTGGCGCAGACTGTCTTGGAAAGGACCTTGAGGCGAAGAAGTTCAAGGGCTGGGGAGTTTTGTTGGAAGTTTTTGACATGTTTGATGTTTATAGATGTTCTCTCTCTTCCTGTAATAATATGTATATATATATATATGTGTGTATGTGTGCTTTATTTTTTTGTAAGCACCACCACGCATGCAGCTCTCGATATTTTTATCGTTTGTTTTGTTTAATAAATGTGGGAAGTTGTTTAGGCATCACGCGACATGAAGTTCTTGAGTTTTTCTAAAGTTTTTCCCCACCTGCCCGGTGAGGGTTGTTACATTTTATCAGAGCGCATGCCCGCCTCCTCCTCCTCCTCCTCGACTAGCTGTCCTCCTCGCTGTCCTCCTCGCCTCCGCCTCTTCCACCTCCACTTCCGCCTTGCCAACCTTGCCAACTCGTCGCCAAGCTCTTCGCCAACTGCCCAGCTCAGTGCGCACTGCTGGACGTCAACCTGCGAGCTGCCCAGCTCAGTGTGCACCGCTGGACCTCAACCTGCGAGCTGCCCAGCTCAGTGTGCACCGCTGGACCTCTCAACCTGGGACCTGCCCAGCTCAGTGTGCACCGCTGGACCTCAACCGGGGACCTTCCCAGCTCAGTGTGCACCACTGGACCTCAACCGGGGACCTGCCCAGCTCAGTGTGCACCGCTGGACCTCAACAGCCAGATAGAATGCCAGAAGATATGCCAGATAGAATGCCAGAAGATATGCCAGATAAAATGCCATGAGATATGCCAGACAGAATGCCAGAAGATATGCCAGATAGAATGCCAGAAGATTTGCCAGAAGATATGCCAGAAGATATGCCAGATAGAATGCCAGATAAAATGTCAGATAGAATGCCACAAGATATGCCAGATAGAATCCCAGAAGATTTGCCAGATAATATGCCAGAAGATATGCCAGATAGAATGCCAGAAGATATGCCAGAACATATGACAGAAGATATGCCAGATAGAATGCCAGAAGATATGCCAGATAGAATGCCAGATAGGGTGCCAGAAGATATGTCAGAATATGTGCCAGATAGAATGCCAGATAGAATGCCAAATAGAATGCCAGAAGATATGTCAGATAGAATGCCAGAAGATATGCCAGATAGAATGCCAGAAGATTTGCCAGATAGAATGCCAGAAGATATGTCAGATAGAATGCCAGAAGATTTGCCAGTAAGAAAATGTATAAATGTCATGGTGGGGATCACACGAAGTAAAGTAATTAAGCATCACAAGTGTGCAAAGATTGGGACACTTGATAGTCATTATTTGTTTCGGGGGCTTAGATAGTGACTTGGGGTGGGACGGTAATGATCGATTAACCATCGAAAACACCCCTAGGGAACATGTAGATGTTGGAAAGACAACCTGCGAAAAGTGGATGTTCCAAGTTTTCCATCTCTAGATCTACTGGAAGGAAAGTGGATGGTTATATAAGTTACATATACTTTGTATATATATATATGTTTATCCATTTATGCATTCATTTATGTAGCCATCAAAGATGCCAAACATGTCAACACATCCAGGGGATTTCAACTTGTTATTGAGGTATTGGGTCTTCAGGGACTTGAGGCATGGCCATTAGGATGGTTTGAAAAACAGGCACTCTTATCAGCACTTGTTGCGGGTCAATCTCGGCATCCTTCTAGGACCCCTCGATATCAGACTATGAGTGCTATTAGTTACATCCTGTTGCATCATCACATATTTCGGTTGTTTTCTTTATCCAGCCATCTTAGCCTTTTTTTGCATGCCGCGTGCCTTTGTTTGTAATTTTTGGGGGGGTTGATCCCCCTTGGGTGGTGAATTTCGCCCAACTTTCGGAGAAGACTCCCATATTTCCCAGGCGTTTGGACTCCACTGGGGATGTGATTGCCGCGAAAGCTTCGGGCCAGTTGCTATGCCGCAGCCTTGATATCACTCTCAAGGAGACGGGTCCTGGATGGTGGGGAGCCAAGGAAGTTTTTCAGGATCTCTTCCGAAGAATTCAAGCCTTTTCAGGATTTGACCCATTTATCATATATTTTGGCAGCAAAAATGGAGCGGCCTGGTTTTTGAAATCATTCCGACAATTTCAAGGCACAGTTGGGATTAGTGATCCATATTTGCCACCGATCCGACTGACCCTCAAGGAGTGTACTCAGCCTTTGCGGTCGCTATTGGCATTGCTTCTAAGGCATGAAAAACCACATTCGGTGCATGGTCGGAATCACTAAGTTGCTGGGTTTATAAATTCAATCACTTGGCTCTACGGAATAGCTTATGCAAAATAGATGGATGAAGCCTGACTAAGAACCAACACCCAAAAAAGTGCAACATGTTTCTAAAATGCAGGTAAAACTTGACAAATAACATCCGTTGTTGATGAAAATCACAAGATAGATGCCGGCATTCTAACTTTATATTCAAAAAAACGCGGTGACTTGACAATTCCCAATCAAGCCCAGGATAGAAGGACAATTATTGATCAACATTTATCAAAATTTCAGTGGCCACGCATTCTAAGATCTCCAGTATACTAAGACGCCCCGACTGACAAAACGGGGCAAAAAAAAGTGCAGGACCCCACTTGTTTGAAAATGTGCACCTTTTTTTTGCAGCGTGACGTTTCCAAAATCGCATTCTAAGTTTCAGTGTGTCGCTATATAGTGATACAGTACAGTGTATTTATATGTATATATACATATTATATATGTAGAGAATCATATTTATAATACATATATATGTGTATATATATATTTATAATTACGCATATGATATACTGTATAGTCAATGGGGGATATAAACCAAAACGCAGAACAGCACCACCGGTTCATCCCATATTCCTTGGTTCCTGCGTTCTTCATACACTTACTGAGTCAAAGTAGATGTAGTTATGGGAAGCCTCAGTTTGAGGTAGCGATGGCCCACAAATAATTAGGTGCAAAGATGTATATAAAGATTACTAAACCAGACTAAACCATCTATGTTCATCCATTTTCGGGGTCACCAGTTTTGAGCCTCATCTCATCCAGGTGTGTGGGCGAGGAGCAGATTGGAGCACAGGAGCGGATCGAAACGAGTCAAGACCAGATGCATTTTGGTGCTCGAAATTTATGGCCATGCCATTTGTCAATTTTCATGATACTCAAATGAGTTTGACGTCGTTTTTGGAGCCTTGTTATAGGAATTGGTGGAGCTCACCAAAGGTGGGGCGCTCAGCATTGTATCTTGAAGTCAGTATTTCTGATGATTCCTGCTTCTGCGTAAAGGGATGTCATGTGGCTTTGCCGACTGGAGAGAGAGAGAGATATATATACATACGAATACATCTAGTAGGATATATTTCCTTTGTATCACTGGTGGCTGGTTTAAGAACACCCTTAGATCTATCTAACCGAAACATCCCCTTAGCATTGTGCATAGCTCGAGTTTGATTGCGTTTTGATTACCAACCGGAATGCAAGATATCTAAGATAGCCGTGGAAAATTGCCAATTTCTGGATCATTCTCAAAATGTTGATTTTCCATGTGCCCTTTGGCAAACTAACGTCGCTATTGAAAGTGGCAATTTAAAGTTGATTTTACCCATTAACACTGTGGATTTTCCATATATATCCTATAGCCATTCGGCTTATGAACCCCCACGACGTCCAGGTGACGTTGCTCTCGCCGTGGCGGTGGTGGCTGAAGCACTGGCTGCGCCGAAACCACCTGGACTTCCGCTGTGGCCCATGCGACTGCCACCTGGCTAAAACAATGTCATCAACCACCCATCTGGGAAATCTATTACGACCTCACTGTGCCCTCACTGGAATCATGGTTAATAAGGGGGATCATCCCAAAATGGCCCAACATTTCAGCTTAGTGAATTGTTATAATTTGCCGACCCAAGACTGGGACCGGTACACATACCACCTATATATACCTATTTTTTTTTTGGGGGTCCCATGACATTTTTTTACCCACATGAATTCAATCGTTAGACATAAAACCTGGATGAACCTTGGGGAATCCGGCAGTTTCAAGATATCAAGGTAAATGATGGTGTATATATATTATATATATTATATATATATTATTATATTATATTATATTATATTATATTATATTTTTATATTATATTATATTATATTATGGAGGGCTAATTATTTTAGGATTTTTTTTTGATCAGGTTTAGGAATTATTTTTGGATTCCTGCTTCTCTGCTTTTCCTGCTTTTCCTGCTTCTCTGCTTTCCTGCTTTTCCTGCTTTTCCTGCTTCTCTGCTTTTCTGCTTTTTTGCTTTTCTGCTTCTCCTGCTTCTCGCCTTTTCTGCTTTTCTGCTTCTCCTGCTTCTCTGCTTTTCTGCTTTTTGCTTTTCTGTTTTTCCTGTTTCTTTGCTTCTCTGCTTTTCCTGCTTTTCCTGCTTCTCTGCTTTTCTGCTTTTCCTGCTTCTTTTCCTTTCTGCTGTTTTGCTTTTGTGCGTTTCCTGTTTCTTTGCTTCTCTGCTTTTTTGCTTCTCTGCTTTTTTTTTTGCTTTGCCTGCGATAAATACTTGATTTTCATGTAAGATGC